CTTCTACAGAGCACTACTAAGCTCTTGAAGAAAAGTGCTTGAGGGATTGGAATGAAGAATCAGAAGAAAGTAAAAACCTTTCAAGAGATGGAGAGTGTTATTACATCTGCTAACCTGACTGAGGACAACAATTCTGTGGAGAGCTGCCATTTTCCATAGAACGTCAGACTTCCTACCCACCCCAGCCATGTCTGGCTAGCCCCTCGTCACAAGAATGTTTTATGTATATGGAGAAAGTGCTAGAGCTGCTGTTATCACTCAGTTAATGAAAACCTGAGAAAACACGGTGCGTGATACGTAACAGTGAGCCATGGTCTGTCTTCCTGACTCAACCACCAATTGCTGGGATGACTCAGCACATTATCAAGCTGATTTTTTTTCTTTTTTTTTCCCTATTCCTCCATCAATAATATGGAGATACTGGGATCATGCTGGTGTGTAAAGCGTGTTGAGCAGTTGTGCTGAAGAATGCCAGGGGAACCCTAGGCACCAGCATTATAACTGGCTGTGGGAAGGTGATTGAAGCCACCTTAAGCTCTGATCTAACCTAAGCACTTAAATGCACACGTAACTTTAAATATCTGACTAGTCCTGCTGATGTTAATAGGACTACTTGTATGCTTAAGTGCTTTGCTGAATTGGAAGTTAATGAGTTCAAATGCTAGATAAACTTGGTTATAGAGGAAGCGCCAAGGACTGCACTGTGGATTCCTGTAATTAGATGTGTCTTTTTGCTGGTCCATGGAAGCCCTTTTCTCTCTTCTTCTATTCTTACAACCAGTCTTATTTTGGATGTAAAATGAAGAAAGGCCCAGGTAATTTATTTGTACCCCTTTTAGTGCATCTGCTATAACCAGCACAGTCCCTCTGCAATTTAAAGGTGGAGGATCTCTGAGAAATGGTATGAAAGCTTCAAGAACAGGTCACAGCAGCAAAATAATGTGCAAGAAGATCCCCTGAGCTGATATTCATCTATGCCCCATCCACAGTAGAAACTTTAAAGGACTACAGGTGGACTGGGCTAAGCTGACAGGGCAGCTGCTCTCTTTGGTGGATGATCACAACACACAAAGTGGGGCGCAGGCATAAGCTGGTGGTGGGTGAGGGTCTAGATAACTAAACACACAGGCTGACAGGTGTCAAAAAAGTTCAAAGGGTATCTATGAAGGCTCAGACAATCCAAAAAACTGATAGCACTGTTCTTGCTTTTTAATATTCATTTGCAGGTGTGCAGGTTGCTTTGTGAGATCAATAAAGCCAGCGATAACAGTAATTGTCTGCCTCAGTAAGCTCACAGTTAGGGATGCCAACCTAAAACAGCCAGTCCCTTCTCACTGAGGAGTAAGAGTTAAGACAAGCCTTACAGAACATGCAGGAGGAGGTGAGAATGAGGGAGACAAGGGCAGAGAACAGGCAGAATGGCGCTTCTGCAGTGGAGATGGAGAGGGAACTTGTCTTTTCTGGGAATATTCAAGAGACTACTTGTCAATTTAAGCGCTGGTTTGATTGTGTGCATTTATTGTCTCTGCTCAGGAGGCCAGAGCACAGCCAAGCATCGCTGCCAGCTCTGGAAGTTACCTCTTTACAGCAGCTCATTTCCACCGTAACAGCATTGCGGAGAAGGGAATGAGGAGATTCTTTTGCTTCAGTGTGCTTTGGATGGCGACCTTCACAGGACCCCAATTTTATGCTCCCTTTTGCTGGTTTCAATCAAAAATAACTCTACTGAAGTCAGCAAAGCTGCAGAACAGACAAGAAGAGGGAATGGGGATCATTCTGTTTGCTGTGGTTTGTAATAAACACTGGATACGTGTCGTGGTGGGAGATGAATGTACCTTGTTTGCATTGAAACAGTTGGATCCTGGGCTGTGATGGAACTGCTCCGGGGCAGCCAGTGATAAATGAACGCTGATCATTGCACTGACTGTGGAGTCAGTGGGGTTTTTATTACTGTACATCCGACAGCGATTTGGTTAGAATTTCTGGAAGACTTCACTGCCAGAACTTTTTTCTCAGTGACAAAATGGAAGCTACAGTGAAAAAGGAGTGATGGTGGGGAATGAGGGGAAGGCCAATCTTTCCCGCCTGACCCAAATAAGAAACCTGTAAAATGGAAACAGAACAAACAACTCAAATAGCAAAACCCCAATAATGTTAAAAATACAGAAAAAAAATCTCTATAAGATTAATTATTCCTTTTCTAAATTTGCACTTCATTAAATATTTAATGACACATGCACAGGAGGTTGTCAGAGTAGCAAATTCTCCGCTAAAAACTGTGCCTGTGGGGTGTGTGTATGCTGTGTGTTACTGTCAGACAGTGTTCACTCCTGTTTCTGGGCACTGCTCAGGCAGCCCTGGCTGGGCCGGTCTCACTAGTGCAGGAGGTTCGAGGAGTGTGATGAACGCAGCTCAGTTTCCGGCAGCCTTTGTGTGGGCATCCTGATGGCAGCTCGTTGGATGGAGAGGGGCTGAAGGTTGCTTTAAAAATGGGATCCAGAGTCAGGCTTATTTATTTAGACTGAAGGAGACTGAACAAGAGGTAGCTCTTTTCTTCTAAATGTGCACCCCATGCCCTCAGCAAAATTGCATTTTTATCATTGCTGCCGCGATATTGAATGCTACCCCCACGCTACAGGTTTCCAGTTTTCTGTTTGTCCTTTTGTCATTTTATTTCTGTGCTCTTCTTTAGAGGCTGACTGCTTCGTCTTTCTTCCGCTGGGTAATTCCACCAGGTGTCTGACAAAGATACTTCTGGAGAGCAGATATTTGGCTTTTGCAATGCCAAAAAGGCATTTAGCAAAGGCACTTCTTACCTCCCCTACTAAAGCTTTTTGATACCTCTGAAAAACATGGACCAGCGGGATGACTATGGCTCTGCGCACACGCGTTGCACTGCTGGCACAGTCAGCAAATTGTGTTTCAAATAGTTTCTGATCTGGCTGGGGACTGAGCTTACTTATTTATTTACAGACGTGATAGACATTGCTACTGGACTTGAATCTGATGCCTTGTGAAGGGCTGTGTGGGTTTATTTTTCTCATGCTGTATCCCTGTAGACAGCGTAATTCAGACTTTCCTGCTTATATTGGTATTGGCTGAATATAACAACAGTTAAAAAAATACCCCTAAGAAAACTGGCATTAATGACAAAAAACAGAAGAAAATTAAATTGTATCTAGAAACAAGTTTTGTTCCCTCATGTTCTGGCTTAATGTTCTTTCATTAAGACTAAATATTGGAGCTTGTGGAAAAGCCCTCATGGATATTTTAAATTTTTGTCTGCAGCTAAGATTTATATCAAGCAGGAAGCATGAATTTGGGAGAATTGGATATTGTGACTGGTAGGTTTGAAAACAGAATGAGTGCAATTTCTGAACACTGGTTGGCAGGTGTTGATGGCTGACACTCTGTAATTTACTGTGCTGGGTTTACAAAAGGCAAGTGAAAAGACTGGATGGCGAGGGGCCAGCTGCATGGAGTCCGGCATGCACTTCCCTTCTTTTGAGTGAGAAAATGAGGTTATTGCTTGTTTGTAACTCAGAGCTAACCTGGGCCAGTTTGTTTTGGCTGGAAAGGGAACTTTGCTTTCTGTGGTCCACAGTATGCTACTGGACTGCATGTCAGAGCTTACTGGGGTTTGCTTCAGTCGTAGGTTCAGAGTAGAATTTGAGTTCATCCCAAACCCACCAAATCAAGCGTGTCCCCATGTGTCATTTACCATCATCTGTGTTGTGTCATCAGAAATCCTAAGTTCCAAAATGCTAACATATTTGAGTGGCTTTTTGTCCTCTCTTCTTACCGAGTCTTAATATTGCAAATGCTGCTGTAATAAATATTATTGAGAGGGATTTGCTGAAGGATGTAAATATTCATCAGTCTTTAATGATTTACATTTGAATCGAGAAAATTGGCTTATGACTCCTCGCTGATTTTCTTTCACTCTGATTTTCACAAGGCATGAAGTGCAGGAGGATTAAATACCTGGGGTTTTCTCTGGTCCAAACCAGACTTCGCTATCTTCATTTGGAAATAAGTTCTTCATTAGCTGGTAACTCAACCTTGTGCATCACTTAATCTTTTTCAATCCTCCAAGACTTTTTGTTTCTAACAAAGGGCTTTAGGATCACTCTTGCCACTCTCATGTGAACCAGTCACCACTCCTGGAGTATTTAATTTTCACCTAGGCAAGGCTGACAACTGTGCAGGCCTGTGATTCAGAGTGGGAGGCCCAAAAGTGGATGTGTTGGCCCTGGGATCAAGAGCATTGATGTTCTTCCTGTCATTTTGCATTTAACCTATCCAAACCTTGCAACCACACCAAACCGTTGTAAGCTTTGTGGACCTTGTCCCTGGGCTGGGAATCCTACGTGGAAGTGTGGTGGTGCATTTTACCTGAAATATTTAGGACCATTCTAGATTACAAATAAATTTAATGCAGACTGACGATGCGATTTTGGTAATTTGACTCTACCCTTTTAAAACCACTTACGGCTTCTCCATTGGCATATGACACCTCATTTTTGTAAGATTAGTAGGACCTGGATCAGCTGGCAAATGACACTGAGATATTCTGGTGAAAGGTGATAGTATGAGAGTAATATAGATAATCTGGTGCCTGCGCAAATGAAACACCAAATGGCCTGAATTTAAATTGGCTTTGGTGGGACTTGTTAGGATGTGGCTTTTAATCAATGAGACTGTTCTTTAGCATGGGCTGTTACTCTGTGCGCTCTGCCTATTGAATACGATATAAAAATTATATGGCTACTCCTAAACAAAAGTGTGTGTCATACATTAAGCTCACTGTCCTAGGTCTGTGTATCTGCCTGACTATTTATCTGTCTCTTTTAGTTCCTGAGGGTACGATGAGTTTGCGTTCATTTATGGTTCTAGGATACTTGTGTAGGTCCAGGGGATGGTTTATACAGAAAAGCCTAAATAACAACAAAAAATGACATGCCGTGTGCACAAACCTTAAAAGTGTCGGTATTTTCCAGGTAATTGTGAAAACAAGAACAGAGTATCAGCCTGACCAGAAGAACAAAGGAAAACTCAGAGTCCCCAAAATTGCTGAATTCACAGTCAGTTTCACTGATGGTGTAACAGAAAGACTAAAGGTAAGAAGTGGTTATTCTGCTGCCTTCTGATGCAAATGCCATTCATTTAAAAATAACGGAATCAAAGTGACAGTAAAAACATAACAAATTTTAACAGTCCACTCAGCACTACGGTCAAAGAGACGTTTATCTGCATGAGTATAAAGCTTTTTTTTTTCTTTAGAAAAGGTGTGAAAGAACTTTCATAACTAGATCTGAATTAGAAAATGTTTTCCTTTGCCCAGAAAAAGTTACGAAAATATTTTCCAGCCCAAATTAAAAGGAGCTTGAATCTTTTTTCTTCTCAAATATTTCTGTATAAAACCAATAAAAAAACTACAGTGAAGATCGATTGTAACAGTTTGTTTCACCTTATAAAAATTGTTTTCTCTTGTAGTGAAACAACTTTTTTCATATTTAAAATACTTTATTATTACATAATTATAGCTTAAAAGCCCTTTCAAACTGGATATGAAAAAGAGATATTAGGCAAGTGTCCAAGCATATCCTGTACTGTAAGCAGTTTTGGTTCACAGGAATTGGAACTTTCTGATGAAAGATATTTCCCTGAGAAATTTTCAACAGGCTCAACTCAAACATGGAAAGAAACTCATGAATTATTGAGTGCACTCGGTTGCTGTTGACTGCAGCATATTAGCATGGCTCCATTCCTCCTAAAATTAGACTCGAAGTGTGTAGCTGCTAGCATTCTCCCTTTTTGTTGAGAAGATACGGTGCTTTTCCTAAACCGCAGAGCATGGGAGTGATAAAAATGTGAGATCTCGTTTCACATTTCCAGAGTCAGAGGAAATATCAATGATTTGCATAGAAAACAGAGAGTAAGCAGTGCCTGCTCCTTGAAAAGCTTATAAAATTCTGTGAAAGGGTATCATCCCTGACAATTAACAGGAATGGACTCAAGGAACTGAATAGTCTTTCATTTGTTCCAATTGTTCTTAGTTTTGCAGAAATATAAAAGAGTATTACTATTTTCTAGTAATTTAGAAGAAAACTGTCACTTTTAAAATTGGAATATGATCCAGGAAAAATCATTACTATTCGTCCTTGATGAACTTCAAGATAAGGCTTGTTCAACTTATTGAAAGGAGAAATGTTGAGCTACTCTTCACTGAAGCACTACAGAATGGCCCTGTGTCTGTTTTTTCTAGAAATTCACTAGCATATATTTCACAAGGACAATTCCGTTGCTTTCATCCTGGATATTTAAAGCCATATTTATTCCTAAAAGATCTGTTAATAAATGTTTATAGCTTCTTGGTTGTTTTTTTTTTTTTTCAGTAGACATCACATGTTTTGATCTAAATTACCTACCAGGGACAATTTTGACTGAATTCTTCACTGATCTGATTGTGTGTGTAGTACCTATTTACCACCAGTTGTGACTCTCCATTAGTACCACTAGTAAAGCAAATAGCGAATCATCCACAGTTAAATCCCCAGTCCTGGAAACCACATCTGACATTTTCCAGTGTGAACAACGTACAGATTGGAACCAGACACAATGTGCCTCAGAAACAACAGTAAATGTAGAGTCTCCTGGAAGTGTTGGCTTGTGACCCACAACAAATGGCAGCGTTGCTGTTGTAAGTAACGGTGCTTCAGTGGGTATTTAAAACAATTCTGCGGCCCCGAGCAGCGTTAAGGTCAGTGTAAAACCAGGTTTTTATCCCACCAAAACATCTGGCCTTGCTATTTAAAAAAGCAATCAAGAACATCTCATCCTTACACACTGTGTGTGCTGGAGGCCCATAACTCATCCGCTGCTATGGCTAAATCTTACTCCTTCTGTTCCTTCTATAGAATATCGTATTTTCCCCATTCTTCAAAATGCCCAACTTGCTGTTGCTTTCAAACCTGTCCTTTTGATGCATTTTCCCCTCTCCCCATTCTGGGAGTGGCTCTCCGGTCACGCTCTCCTGTGGGCAGCGGCTGGTGGCTGCAGCTGTGGGCACGGGGCTGGCGGGGATTTAAGCTGCCTCCCCCTGTGCTGTGCGGGGGGGGCGGCTCTTGGAGCTCTGCCTCTTCCCATGCAGCCTGGCAGCCTGACAGTTTCATTTTTAAGCTATTTCCTTTCCCGAAAGTCCATACGATTTCCATTCTCTGCTCTTCAGTGTCAACTTATTAATCACTCAGCCTCCCGTCTAATACTGGATAAGACTATAAGCCTCTCCCTGACTGCTTTTCATAAGGCTTCCATGTATCATATTAAGTTTGTAGTATTATTTCCTGACAAAAATGAGCTGCGATAATAGGTGATATTTCATTACCTTTTGTACTTTTTCTTTTATTGCATTGCTTTTTTATGCCTGTGCCTATTTTTAGTGAAGTTATTAAAAATATTGCCCTCTGGTAATAAGCAGGCCTATTATCTGGTACTGATGAAATCATTTTACATTTGTTTTTTGTAAGAGGAAATCATAGTAAATACTTAACTTTTATTATCTCAGTTTGTCTACACTTTGAAAAGCTTAAAAAAAGACAATACAAATGAGTTCATCATATTTTCTTTTGCTGTCTGATTGCTTTGTATAGCCTTCCAGTATGTGGTGCCGCTGGAAATATCACCCGTAACTTCTTGCTAACACACTGATTAAAATTAAAGTATTCATCTACACCTGAGCCAAGCCGTTGATAGTAATACACTGACAGGAGCAAGTAGATCATCCCATTGATTTCTGCAAGAGAAGTAATGGAGGGAAGGGCAAGTAGTTGATCCAAGCGTGGATGGTCCACTGGTTTAGTGCAGCCCAAATACATGACGAGCTGTATGGGAAATGCATGTACAACTAGCGCAAGTCCAGAGCAATGTTTGACTTCAAAGGTTTCCATAGGGAGACATTTTGCTACTACGGCTCTACTAATCTGTGTATGAGGAGCAATTCCTCTCAGCACATGGTACCTATACGTTAGGGAAAGCGACAGGACCCAGAGG